TTTATGGCTCTTGCGGCCGATGGCGAGTTGGAGAGCGTCTTTCGAGGAGATTCAGGCTCCGTAATAGAGTGAGATAGGGCGGTGAATCCCTTGGAATTGGCTGGAAGACTGAGCAGCTGCAGAACCGAGGTCATAGCGTCTAGTAGTAAGCACTGTGGCTATGCTACTTTTCGGCGCGACCCGATTCGATCAGAGCATTACGCGTCCGCGCGTCGGTCTCTGACGCCGTCTCAGCTCTTTCTTCTCTGCTACCATTATGGTACGTGTCTCTCCTCTTTTTTTCAACAATCTCCTGGCCGCTGAAGACCTTGCTAGCTTCTCCGAGTCAGAACCAAGGACGGAAACTTTCGTTTTGATCTGGCACCCACTGCAGACATTTCAGAGTTACTTGCAAAGGTCCGTCCATTCAAGAAGAGGATTTGCACGACTGACCCCTGCCAGATCCTCGAAACAGCCCCAGACGCGGATCCTCTGACTCTCACCATATCCAACCAGCCTCGGGGAAATGAAGCTGACTTTTCAAGCTTGAAAGGTCGATCCTTGCAAAGTCTGGGTCTCAAGTATGTCTCTCTCCATTCGCATATTCGACCGCGTCTGATCTGATCGACAGCCACGCAGATTTGGTCTTTGTCAACTACCAAGCAAAAGCCGCTTCTGCATCGAGCTCGTCCACTGCGCCCAGCGCGTCCAACCCCGAAACCACGCGCATATGGGAGACGGTCAAGGAAGATCCGGTAGATGACTATTGGCGATCACGAGACGGCAAAATCCCTCGAAGTCGCGACGCCCGATTCTGCACTCACGCCGCCAACGGAATGTGCGATTATTGCATGCCTCTTGAACCATACAACGCCCTCTATCACAAGGAGCATGCTATCAAGCATCTATCTTACCACGCATATCTGAAACAAATCACCCCCAAATCGTCCTCGTCTGCCACTTCGTCTCTCCCTCCACTAACTCCACTTTCGTACAAAGTGAAAATTCCGTGTCCCAGCGGTCATCCGTCATGGCCCGCAGGTATTTGTACATCTTGCCAACCCTCTGCCATCACCCTGCAATCTCAACCTTTCCGAATGGTCGACCATCTTGAGATTGCCTCGACCGACATCATCGATCGCTTCCTGCATGCTTGGAGGTCAACTGGTTACCAACGCTTTGGATGGTTGATTGGACGGTATCAACCGTACGACAAGGTGCCAATGGGAGTTAAAGCTGTGGTAGAGACTATATACGAACCTCCACAAGAGGGCGAACTCGACGGCGTTACCTTGGGCTTCCCCTGGGAGGAGGAACCTCGTATCAGGGAGCTGGCTGCCTCGGCTTCAACCCCCCTTACTATTGTCGGCTATATCTTCAGTGATTTGACTCCAACGCCAGAGGATCACACTAAAAACATCTACAAGCGGCATCCCGGTTCCTTTTACATGTCGTCGCTGGAGGCCATCTTCGCCGCTACCATGCAAAGATCGAATCCAGTGCCTTCGAGGTCCTCGCCTACTGGCCAGTTTGCATCCCGGCTGGTCACAGCCATCCTCACTGCCACCGAGGACGGCCAGGTAGATGTTGCGGCGTACCAAGTCTCTGAGCAGGCCTGTGCCATGGTCGAAGCAGACATGATAGAAGCCAGTGTCGACCCCGGGATTGTTCGAGTGAAAGAGGAGGATCGGGCAGAAGGCTCGGCGAGATATGTACCGGACGTATTTTTCTCGTTCAAGAACGAGTACGGGCTCGAAGTCAAAAAGACCGCAAAGCCTGCCTTCCCCGTTGAATATCTCATGGTCAACGTTAGTTTGATTTTGATGCTTCCCACTGTTAAGAAGGTACTAATGCGCACGCTGTGTAGGTAACTCACGGCTTCCCACAAGACCCATCGCCTTTGTTTCAATCTTCCAAGTTTGCCATCGAGAATCGACCTGGATTGGAAGACCAGCGCGTGGAAAACGTTATCACTGCCCTAGCACGGCTGGATGCCCCCAATATAGTGGACACTAGAATTTCCAAGCCCGGGGAGGCTCACAAGAAGAGAGAGCTGGCCGCCTGGCTCAGCGATTGGCATCTCGTCGCCTTCCTCGATACGACGCAACTGTTTTCTCCTGTGCGTTCATTCTACAGGCTATGAAATCAGCTCACAGTCCTTTTAGGAAGATGTGAAGCTGCTGATGCGTATTGTGACATCACCTACTTTGCTGGAGGATCTCAGCCAACTAGACCCGCTTTTGGCTACGGAAGGTTGGAACACGCTGATGACATTTACGCGCGAGAGTGGATGTATGTTTTTCTCTCCTCCTTCTCGATCCGTCTGATGTTTGCCAGCGAACCCGACGGTAGCATCGTCTAGAGACGAAGACATTCCTCAGGAAGTCTTCGACCAGATCGCAGCGGAAGAAGCGGCTGCGCGAGGTACAGGAAACGGGGGAGAGTCAAGTATCAGGATTTGTCCCCATTGCACGTTTGAAAATGCGCACGGCGGCGCCGACTGTGAGGTATGCGGCCTGCCACTGTAGCAAATTAGGAGTTACCGACGAAGGAAATTGTATCAACTCGATGATCCATGTACATACATGCGTGCTACAGAAGGAAACCCGATCCAAACCTCGATTGAGGACGTGTGTATATGTATGTGTATAGGCGTTCTATCGTTTTAGGTGTCTGCGCCCTACTGTCCGAATATCCACCAGGTGGCGAATGCTACTCCGAAGAGCACACCGAGTGCACGGGCGACGATAACGACTACAAGGGCCTTGCGAATTGCGGCATAGAAGGTGCTCAGCGCGGAGCCCGACCAGTTTATCCTGATCAGCAATAAGCCTCGAGACGATGTATTGAGTACACTGAACATACCGCCTGTCATTTGTGCCTCCACCTCTGACACTCGCCTCCCATCCGCGCACAACCTCTCTATAGCGCTTGCCGAACACCCTATCCCCAGTGTAAGTAGTCAGCCTATTTCTTTGGTATAGACGCACCATATCCAGAAATTGACGTCAGGGTAAGAGAATCTCGGAAACACACTTGCCAGGCTAGGGGCAACGACATCCATGCGCATTCCCTCAGTGCCAGTCTGATACGGAAGCTGCATTATGGGCGACAACGGAGACGAGGATCCAGAGCTGCCCTTGTGCGCCTCGGAGTTATCACGCATAGAGGAAGGCGCCGGGAGGACCATGTAGGACATGAGGTCGAGGGTCATGCCTGCCGGAATACAGATCGTAGGATTAGCCGCAATTCGAGCACTAAGTGAAGGAGTGGTTGATTACCGAGGGACAAACCCCAAAGCTTTAATTTCTGGTGTCGGCTGGACGGCGAGACAAACCCTTTTTCAAGGATATCATGGCTGATGGTTGGCTTCCCTTCCGGAGTTGTGGAAGGGAGTGATGAGGGCTGCACAATGATCGCGGGGAATTCCATGCTACCAACTAAGACTTGGACGAGGAGGCGAAGTGCAGTGGAATGCTTCGGGGCAAGTCGGGAAGCGGCATCGACAGTCACGGTGGACCATCTAGGAGGAGTATGTGCGGAGACGAGCGATGCGAGGGGAGTCCAATGCAAGGTGGTCGATGGTGTAGGGTCAGGGGGCGGTGCTTGCGCGGTCAACTGAAGGAAAACAAAGGGCGAAAGGATCATCAAAAGACGTTTTCCCAATGACGTTGTTATCTCTCGGTCATCCAATTGTCCAATGCAAGTGTAATCTCGCTCGGCGAGGTCGATGCCTATTTCTTCCCACGTCTGCCGCATGGCTGGCATGCATTGTCATCGAAAAGTCCGGAAAGTTAGGATAGCAACGCACCAGTATAGAGGCCGCCTTCGTCGTCCGCTTCGGTCCTGCCGCCGGGGAACGCGACATGCGCCTCATGCGTATTGCGCATCCTGCTCATGCCAGAGTCTTCTGGAGCAGGACTTTCGCGCTGCAGAAAAAGAATCTCGGGGCGTGCTGCTGAATCATTGACCCAGTCGAGCTCAAAGAAGTCAGAGAGGGTGACCGGGGCTGTAGGCGGTGGTGGTAGGACCGCGTTCGGGGCGGGAACTACGCGAATAATGAGGGCAACTGCGGCTCTTCGTGGTTCTAAAATGGATGGTTAGCATCGAGCACAGAAGACCAATCGCACGGCGCACGAGTCGGAGGGGACGCAATTATGCGTGGGGGTGTGGTGCGTATCCTGTGGAGGGCTTTAGAAAGCAAGGGAACAATGGACACAGGTTTTTCTGAACACAAGTCAGTAGAGAGCGGCGTGTCGCAGACTTGGGCATACCGGCCATGGGTGCGCAAAGAGAGTCTAACTCTAAGACCCCAAACGATTTGCTGCCCCATCTGGGCGCGCTACCACGTGCCGCGTTTGTGCCGCGCGCGGCTGCTTCCTTCTGTCACTGAATCTTTCGATTCGAGTTCGGAAATGTACACCGTACTCCAACCGGACTCATTTCGTCGACCGTGACTATTCAGTAAACAACAAGCCGACCGATCCAGTTCTCCTTTTTCTGCCCACAAACTGACTGAATTCAGTCAGCTCAATTGGACGCGTGCGGGGTCTGGGGCCCGGGGAATTGCCTTTCAAATTCAAGTTTTTCAAAGGTCGAGCTACATCATTTGATCTGCATAGAGGAAGCTTCAAGTTAAGACACCCCCGAAAATTTAAATTTTGTATCTCCGACTTCATCTGAAACTAATACATCCCTCCATATGCAGATTACTATACTACCTATATGTCCGCATGCCTACGCGTGTATCCGGCGCACAGCACCGCACCTGGTTCAACGATGGTTCCAGGTTCACACTTGGGTTCCAAGGAAGTGGGTATGATCTTGAGTACTAGGACTCAAAAATAATAAGGACACGAGGCAGAGGTGCTAATTAAAGTATTTCTGTAAAGGCTCTTAGTTATGGTGTCCAAGTTATGTTCGATTTGCTATAGCATTACTGCAAAGGCCCTGCATGATCTTGTTGAAGTAGCAGCGAGCGGGAAACGAGGCAAACAAGTCCGTACGGGTAACGGAGAAAAAGGTCGTGCCCGGGTTCGAACCGGGGTTACGAGAATCCGAAACGCACATCCAGATTACCAGAGGCTGGTCAAAATCTCGAGTGATAACCACTACACTACACAACCACGGACAAGAGCGGGGCATGCGCCAGTATGATGTGTTCAAGATACATATACGCCAAGCAAGCCCGGAATCTGCTGGGGTGATGAACAACAACAACATCACCATCAGCATCTACAGAGCACCACCCCCAACTTGAATGGGTCGTTGTTCTGCCGAACTCGATTTCCGATGATAGGTCTCTTGAAAACAGTCAATGCCGGATTTTGATGGGCAGGCAACGGAGAAAGCCGAGGACAGTGATTACACGGTACAACGGGCTGAAATTAAAAGCTAAAGAAGGCCCTGGGTAGCCAAACCTAAAGATTCAGGAAATCTGAGCACAGGCCTCACTGTAACGACCCTCGAGTGCGGGTTACAAATATTTATAGTGGGATGCACGTCGTACGACCCTGGCGAGTACTCCGGAGTTACAATGGTGTTCTGGGACTTGGATAAGCCTCCAAGTCCCCGAGATAGTGGCTCGAATTAAGAGTGAGACCACTCAGACAAGAATATCTTCGTCTGAGTTCCGATATGGTCTCGCTCAATCAGGGACAGAATATCTTATTCCCGATTCGAGATCCGACTAGCTCGGAGGCTAAGAGGATGCTAGATAGAGCCCTCAAGCTCTATGGAATAGATCAAGTGCAGATGTAGAGCGGATGCCAGTGGATAAGCTAATTACCGCTGGCAGATGCTTCAGTCTTTGAGCTCTTCGAACAGCACGCTGTGGTTCGTAATTGCGGAGACCAATACACTTAAGAGCACCTGCAGGCCTAGTACACAGTAGCCGTTAAGAGGGCTGAACTATGGACAGTGGGCCGTAGGGTGGTTAAGGTATGAAAGGTTATTCGTATTCATCGGCCCCGGCTACATAAGTACCGGATCACGTGACTACGAATATATATGGAATGAATCAAGAAAGTGTTCGTAAATAGTCATTAGCTGAAGAGTAACCAGGAAAGCGGCCATATGTAGTATGGGGCCCTTACAAAGCCCCCCACTCTTCAGGGAAGGCCTATGGTTCAAGCCTGTTGAAGACCGAGCTCACCAAACTCAAGAAAAAAAAATCCTGCTCTGCATCCATCCGGCTTGGCAGCTGTGCGTTCCTCCCCGTTGTCCGCTGGCGGCCCAATGCCTGTATCCATGCTGCTCTATATCGGGTGTATCAAGGCAATGCCTGCCACCTCCGACTCTGGACCGTATTGCACCGCTTGCTGCTTGGTCCCTCGCTCAGATTCTCTCAGATTCTCCTCGTGTTTCATGGATACCCTGCTCGCTTCGCTTCCTAGTATCCCCTATAGCCCCCCACGGAAGTATCCGCTAGATACACCGGTGAAAGCGGGTACTTTCGGAATACCCCAGACTATGCCATAACAATGTTGCAAGGGGTGGGACGGCGGGACATAGCTGAGCGGGAAAGATTCACAGAAAGGGACACAGCACTGCTATCACAGGCACCAGAGCTCGAGGGCTCAGAGGTGGTGTTTGTACGGGCCGTGCTCGACGATGAGCTGGGGCGCGCCGACGAGGAGGTCACAGCGCTTAGCGAACAGGCGCTAGAGGAGCTGTCGGCAATTGAGGATTTGGTCGACGAGCTGCTGCGGGTGGGGAGGAGCGCAGCACCGAGATCGACGACACGGAGCTGCTCCTGTAGCGGATGGAAGAGGAGCCGGGCGCGGAGACGAGGCCGATGATCACGATCAGACGCGCGAGATGCTAGAACGTGATGACGAAGGCAAAGTCGAGCTGCTTCATACACTGCAGGATGACACCAATCAATGAAGAGCTGCCGGTGCGGGAGCTCGAGCCGCTGGCACGGGAAGAGGACGACGCGACTCAGCGGCTGCGGGAACTGAAGACCTGCGCGCAAGTCAGGAGCGGTGGGAGCAGTCCTCTGGCTGCCCACTGCACGGTCCCCACCGCCGAGTCACCGCGCACTGCGCAAGCCCATCCTGCCATGCGCGTGGTGCTCCACCCACTCAGAGGGCATTCGCACACACGGTTTGCGTTGAGTGGGTCGAGAAGTCCCGCTGTAGTCCGAGGATTGAACTTTGAAAGCACCCCAAAGTGCCACAGATGCTGTTGAGTCTGGGGCACAGCTGGTCTTGCACTATCGAGAAGGGCTTCTAGGCGTCCGAACGAGGAGCTTGGCGACAAAAGTAACGAGGCTGGAGGTGAGACGAAAGACGTCGAGTGTGCATGTCCAAATTGTGTCCGGCCCGGGAATTGGCAGCGGAAGCTTGTTTGGCCATTGATCAAGCCGATGCCAAACAGTTTCGACTTGCCTCCTCATCTTCCTCCTCCTCCTCTTCAATCTCCCCTCGAAGGCTTCGATATCCTATGGGCACCGAACTAAAGCACTCCCGCTTGGATTTGGGGTGCTTAGCTGCCTCTAATTTGGCACTGGCAACTGGCCATTCTTGAAGATGTGCCAACCTTGCACATGGATGAAGTGCGAGATTTTGAGGCGATGCGACCGCGTAGCTTCGCGCACGCCGCGCGTGGCTTTATCGGGAGTCTCGGAGCGTTCTGGTAAGTGCAAAAACACAAGAACTTGAAGATGAAACCAAGAAAATAGGCAGAAAATGCGAAAAATAGGGAAATAAATGTAGCTGGTATCTTGGGATCTCCGAATGCTCTGAATCAAGCTGCGTCGGATGCCGCAGGAGTCGTCCAAGGGCCTGGGAGTCCCAGAAGTGCGTGTTGAACGCTCCGTTAATGCTTCGAGGCTGAAATTTGACAGAAAAATCCGAAAAATATGGGAGAAAATGGGGAGGCTGCGAGACACTCCAAGTCGAGTCGTCTCGCAGGTCGGATTGCCGTGACGTGTTGACCGGGTGAAGCTTTGAGGTACGCCCCGAAGTATCCACGAAATGATTTGAGGCTGAATTTTGCAATTCAGCTGCGTGTCTCGCGCGCCCGCGCCTGCTCTTTCAAGTCCGGCAGCAGGTGCCGATCCCTTCTCGTTCCCAGGCGATGCACGTCGCTAGTTCCTCCAGGATTATCCGCAGGAGGTGAGTGATCGATGTTGCCTGTATGATCGCGCTGACAAACGCGAAAACCTTGTAGTCCGTGTCCGGGGGATGAGGTAGGGGTGAGGTCAGAGTGCGAGGAGCTAGGGACGTCGCTACGCTTCGGACGAAGACAGATGAGAGGTCAGTGTTTGCGAGCACTACGTGGTCCAAGGTGCGTCGATCTTCTCCACGCAAATCTTCTCCGCGCAAAGCCGGATCCTGCTGATTTGGAACAGTGTCGCAAATCGGAAGGGGAGCGGGCCCTCCATGGACCTCGTGGAACATCCTCTCTTGCAAGATCTCCGGCCGCGGCTGCCGCGTGCTACTTTCCGCCGCCAGCCGAGAACGCGCAAGACAAGCTTCGACTGCCTGCCGCGCATCCCTTCCAGCGTCCGCTCCCTCCATTTGTAGGAGCACGGATGCGAGCCCTCCATGTTCATTCACGCTTGCGCTTGCCGTCATTCGCGTTTGCGTCTCCTCGACGCGCAGCCCCCCAAGCTCTACGGCGTCCGCAGTAGCGGGCGCTGGAGCGGGGGACTTCGGGGGTGGCACAACGCGCGCGACAGCAGACCCGCCATTGATGTGTGCTGCGTATGGCGCGCACCCGGACGACGGCGGCGATGGCGGGACCCGGAACCTTGCGGGCGGCGTACCTGAGCGCGATGCAGCAGCACCAGGCACGCGCGGACGCAGAGATGGCGCAGTATCAGCAGCAATGGCAGCGGCCGCATCAGGCGTAGACGGAGGCGGAGGAGCAGCACCTCGGGGCTCAAGCATGGGGGAATCTGATCGACACAATGCGTGCACGGACCCAGCAGTTCGCTCCGCCATGCACGCGTTCACTGCCGTTGGGTGCGGAAGTACGTCCCCCCTCAGTAGTTTATCCGATAAGTCATCATCTGTCTGCCCCCCAGGCTCATTCTCACGTAGCTCCACGCGCTCAGCGAGCACGTTTTGTGGCACGCGAGTTTCCTCGTGCATGCGCGCTTTGGAGCATGAAGCGGCCAATGCCGCAGACAGCGCCAGGTCTCGAGTTGCAGCAACACAGCTCCTCGCTGCCTGGATTGTGCTCGCAATGGATGGGTGGCAAACGAGGCCGAGAGAGGAGACATCGAGCAGACGGGGCTCTGAAGCTGGGACCTCATATACTGCGGCAACCTTTAGCTTTCCCCCGCCCCTTTGAAGTGCTTCCTTTCTCTGCGCCTGCGCTGACTCGGACGGAGCCTCATCTTTCAGCCCGCCGCCCTTGGGATTTGGGTTAATACTACGGGGCTCCGTGCTGCGTGCCGTAGCTGCCGGAGCCTTCCACGAATCGCTTTCGGGCATGTGGAGCGCAGCAGATCCAGCATCATCCACTTGGACGGACACACCGGTCCTGCTCGTAGCCATGGGGGTGCCGATCCGCTCAAATGGGATCAAGCGAGCGCGAGACAAGGCAACGTAGTGCTCGCACCGTGTCGACCCGCTCACTCCGGCTCGCCGTACTCCTTCAGACTCCGCGAGGGCTCCGGTATGTATCTCAGATCTGTCTACAACCCTGTCGCTTACCCTTCTCATGTGCCCCTCCACTTTGACAGCTTCCGGGGCTACAGGGTGACCATTCTCGCATACACTTAAGTGTTTGTACACTGGACGGTGGCGCCTGATGTCTTTGCGCGAACGGTGATTCTCCTGATCATCGGCCGCCATCTTGTGCTGCGGGGAGGACGGGTTGCACGAGAGGCCGTGTATAGGCTGAGGACTTCCTCGCCCGCACGACTTCTCTACTGCGGAGGGACATCCCTTCGCAACGCAGCTCCCTCCCTCCAACACCATCACGGACGTATTGGCGGGCAACAACACAGATCCTTGAGAGGACGCCGAGGAGACAGATATGGGCGAGATGGATGGAGTATGGAGGGGTTTGCCGGAACAAAGGTATTGTAAGCATCTCATCGCTCCGGCAAGCTTATGCATCAACCGCTCCCAGGACCGTTCAGCCAGCTCTCGGGGCACTCCCAACATGG